AAAAAGGCCAGGCATGGTGGCTCACACCTGTAATCCCAGCACTTTGGGAGGCCAAGGCAGGCAGATCACTTGAGGCCAGGAGATCAAGACCAGCCTGGCCAACATGGCGAAACCTGTCTCTACTAAAAATACAAAAAAATCAGCCAGGCGTGGTGGTACACGTCTGTAATCCCAGCTACTCGGGAGACTGAGGCCTGAGAATCACTTGAACCTGGGAGGCAGAGGCTGCAGTGAGCCAAGATCATAACCAGTGCACTCTAGCCTGGGCAATGGAGTGAGAATCTGCCTCCAAAAAGAAAGAAAAGTAAAAAGGGAAGCTTTTAAAAAGTATCAATGCCTGGGTCCACCAATTTAATTGGTCTGGGGCGGGGCAGCCAAGCATTGTTTAGGTCTCTTTAAAGCTCTCCAAGTGATTATAAGGGGCATACAGGGTTGAGAACAACCTTTTTCTACAAAAGTTAATGAAACAAAATCCTTAACATATATGAAGCTTACTTAGTATGTTAAACAGCTGATGGTATATCCATCAACCACTAAACAGGGTGATACAGAATAATGTGTTGACGTACACAAAATACACATATGATTATATGTATATGAAAGGTTCAGAAAGATGAACAGACATTCTCCCCAGATAGGGTGGAATTGTGTGAACTCTAATTTCTTCTTTTGTATCTCTTACACTTTGAAAATTTAAAATATTAATGTACTACTTTTATAATTAGCAAGGTCAATTAAGAAACAAAATGATTTCAAACACACAGACCTGAAAACTAAGATAGAGGATGTGAAGGGATCGAAATTAATCTCTAAGTATATTTTAGAGGGAAAAGGTAGATATGTTTGGTATTACAGAAAATGTGTAAGTTTACAATTTTCAAAGATTACATATCTTTGAACCCTGGTTTCTATCTATGAAATGAAGTAACCATATTTTTGCTAGGAAGACTAGGAATAATGATGGAATGACCTAACCCAGGGCCTGTCTCATAAAAGGTTCTAAGTAACTGGTAGCAATTATCACTTCTCTATGGAGATTTAGAACAACAGTTCCCAAACCTGTCTATGCATCAGAATCACCTAGGGAACTTTTTTTTTTGTTATTATACTTTAAGTTCTAGGGTACATGTGCACAACGTGCAGGTTTGTTACATATGTATACTTGTGCCATGTTGGTGTGCTGCACCCATCAA